GGGGGCAGGGGGTAGGCGTCTCGTAGGACGTCTCCGAGGTGTCAGGTGTGTCAGCACAGGGCTCTGCAGGCAGCTCTGGAGGGTGTGTTGGGTGGGCCGGGCCGGGGCCCAGGTGGTCCCCGACCCCCGGTGTATACGCCCTGACCTCTGGGGTGTCCCTGACCCCTGGTGCATGTTCCTCTGACCTGGGCTGTGTCTCCACAGCATCAAGATGGTTGCGCCCCCGCGCAGTTCTCCGTGTGCGGCCTGCTGCAGGTGCTGGTGGACCTGGCCATCCTGGCGCAGGCCTACGCGTTCGCCTGCCGCCCTCCCAAGCCTGCCGCCCACGCGGCGCACCCCGCCTGTGCCAAGGCCCTCTGAGGCGGCCGGGAGGACGAGGACACGTGACCGCGGGCCTCTGGGACAGGGCGTGGGCGGGCTTCACCCCCTTGCTGGGCGTGTGCGGCCTGCTGCAGGTGCTGGTGGACCTGGCCATCCTGGCGCAGGCCTACGCGTTCGCCTGCCGCCCTCCCAAGCCTGCCGCCCACGCGGCGCACCCCGCCTGTGCCAAGGCCCTCTGAGGCGGCCGGGAGGACGAGGACACGTGACCGCGGGCCTCTGGGACAGGGCGTGGGCGGGCTTCACCCCCTTGCTGGGCTTCGTGTTTTCAGGGTGATGGGGACGCCAGTCTCTGTCCCGCCTGCTCTCAGAACACTGCTGGACCCTGGGACACCATCGCAGACCCAGGAGGAGGAACGAGGCCACTGCAGGACAGGCCGCCAGGAGCTCCTCCACCTAAGCCCAGCGGGTGGCCTCAGCCCACAGGGGCCCGGGAGCCTTGAGACGGTGGGACAGGGACCAGAGCGAGGAGCAGCATCGGGAGGCCTTGGGCCAGGCACGTGGGGCTGTGGTCTCGGAGTGGCCACAGCGACTCGGCGGGTAGGCCCAGCACAGGGCGCGGGGCCTGGGCTCCGTGTACCTGTCCCTGGAAGGAGGCGTGCCAGCACAGGGCAGGTGTCCTCGCCTGTCTGGCCAGAGTTGGCCTTTCCAGGGCCACCTTCAGTGGCCTCCCAGGGCTCAGGACTTGGCCTCGGCCCTGGGCTTGGCGGGGGGCCCCGAGGCCTGGCTGCCGCGCTGGCCTTGTCCCTAGAGATGCTGCCGTGGGGCCACTGTGGTGGGGACAAGCCCAGGTCCCTCTCAGCCGGGCACTGGCCAGAGCAAGCTCAGGGGTTCTGGGGCCGGAGGCAGAAGTTCTCCACGAGCCCTAGAGGGGGTGCCAGGTGCAGATAGCACATGTGTAGTCTCCCCTCGATCTCGGGAGGCACCATGTCCAGCACAGGGACACGCACGGCAGGCCTCCCTGCGGCGTCTGTGGTGGGGACAAGCCCAGGTCCCTCTCAGCCGGGCACTGGCCAGAGCAAGCTCAGGGGTTCTGGGGCCGGAGGCAGAAGTTCTCCACGAGCCCTAGAGGGTGTGCCAGGTGCAGATAGCGCATGTGTAGTCTCCCCTCGATCCCGGGAGGCACCATGTCCAGCACAGGGACACACACGGCAGGCCTCCCTGCGGCGTGTAGGTGCCCCCGCTGCTGAGGCGGCCCCGTGCCCCGCACCCCACACCCCGCACCCCAAGCTCGCAGGCCTGAGGCGACCCTCCGGGCGACAGGTGGTGGGCTGGTGCGGGCACCCTGCACACTGTCCTCCAGCCCACGGCTCTCCATGCCCGTCCACTGTGTTTGGCCATGGTGGGGCCACCGGTCACTCCCTTTGTCCCCCCTTCCACTGTGACATGAGCATTTCAGCCGTGTCTGTCAGCCCTGTGCCAGCTCCCAGGCCTCTGAAGGCCAAGTGTTCCAGATGCTTCCGTGCAGCTCTCGCAGCTGGCTGCTGGGTGGCACTCTGTGCGTCGTCAGTGCTGTCTGTGGCCAGTGCACAGGCTCTGGAGGAGTCTGCTGTGGCCAGTGAGGGGCGTTCAAAGCCGTCTCCCCCTCCTGAGTTTTCCTCCCAGCTCCCGAATGTTTGAGTGAGGGTCCCCCTCAGCCCTTTGGCCTGTAAGATGCTTTGAAAACGTTTATTTTAAAACAACGAAGGGAGAAGTCTGGAGCAGTGATTGTCTCTAACAGCACCGCCGACTGCAGTGGTGCTGGACGTGCACACAAACTCTGTACGGTGACTTTAGATCAATAAAGCGCTTGAGGGTCTAGTGCGGCCTCATGACTGGGGACCGGGGCATTTCACCTGTCCGCATTTCACCTTGGGTGTCCCCAGAGAGGGGCCAGCCCCAGGCCCTGGCCTCTGCCCAGAGCCTCCTGGTCCCCTGGCTGGGCCAGCGCCCCCACCTTGGGTACAGCTCTGGCCGCTGTCCTGTGAGACTCGTGGGACAGACCAGCCCCGAGGGTAGTGACTGCAGGAACCAGGTCATACGCCCGGGCTGGGCGGGCCTGGCTGTGCACACGGGCGAGGCGGCAGGCATCTGGCTGACGCCGAGTCTGCCTGGCTCACCGCGGAAGGCCCGTTTCCCTGTCAGCAGGAGCCGACGTGAGCACCCTTGAGAAATCAGATGGGCTGCGCCTTCCGCAGTGCGTGGCCCTTGGCTCAGCCTGACCCCAGAACGTTTCTCGTCGCTGGTAAAACCAAGTAATTCCAGTTCCCCAGCTCGCCAGGGCCCTGTCCGCCTGACACAGCCTGGCACCCAGGCGGTGGAGCCAGGGCGTCTGTGCACTTACGCGTGGCCAGGAGTGTCAGAGGAAAGGGGAAACTGAGGCTGCCTTGTGGTGGCCCTGCAGAGCCCCCGCTCAGCGCGGACATCCCACCCCACCCAGCCCTGGGGTCTGTTCCTGGCAGGTCCCCTGGACGCCCAGCCTCGCCCTGGGGGCAGCGGAGACACAGTAGGCTGTGCGCGCAGGGCCGCGGTCCAGGTAGATGGCTCCACACTCATGCGTCCCGACTCCCCGTGACCACAGGAAGCCCCTTCCTGGCCCCCCAGCCCCTGTGCTTTGGGGAGGACGTTGGCACTGCCTACAGGAAGTCAGCCGAGCTGTGCGGGAGGCGGCACGTTTTATTGGTTGCAGCAGCAGAAGCCCCGCCTGGCCCTGCCCCAGCCGCCCCTCCCCTCCCTGCTGGTCCCTGCCAGGTGCCCTGCCAAAAGCCACACCAGGCGGTGGTGGGTGAGTGTCCCACGTCGGTCCTCTGGGTGAGGCAGGGTTCCTTCCCGCAGGGTTCGTGGCAGCGATGTCCCAGACGTCATGGCGTTGAAACGAAAAAGTGCGAAGCAGCATCACCGGAAGGTTCCATCCCTCGGTGATGCCGGCGGAGACGAGCTTCTAGTAGCTGCACGCCTGGGGGCCCCTTCCCGTCTCCTCCCGGATCCTCCAGCCGTGGAGGGGGAGGGAATTGTTCCTACAGCAGACGGCGTTCCAGAGGACAGAGGACAGGAGGTGGCCGCAGGCAGCTGCAAGGGCAAAGGTCCCTGTGACGGCCACCCGGGAAGATCAGGGGGTAGTGCCAGGGAGGGCGGTCGGAGGTCAGGGCCGGACCCGCAAAGGAACGGGGGGGCCGTGAGCATGGGTGTCACACCTCTGTGCCCGTCACGTGGCAGGGATGTGGCTTCTGCCGAGCTGGATGTATAGGCACCGTCCCCCGTCTGCTGGGGACGACTCACTTCCTGCCTCTCCCAGGGCTGCCTCCATTGTGCCCCCACACTGCCCCCTGGGACCTCAGTGGTCGAAGAGCAGGGAAGGGTCAGGCCGAGGCCTGGGGACAGCGTAGCTTTCTGGTATTTGCCATAGGTTTGGAGTTCCTAGAATTTCCTGAATTTACTTTTCCTTAGCCAAAGTCAGACTTCAAAGGGAACGGAAGGGAGAACAGTTGGCCATGCCCCCCGCGAATTCCTTTCGCCACAGCACCCCATGGCTTCGGCCCCGCCTCCGAGTGACGCGGGATCAGCCCAGGCCGAGGGGCATGCACGCTGGCTGGACACGCGAGAGTTCGGAGCGAGGCCCCTGGCAGCGGCAGGAGCTGCCGCCCCCGGGTCAGTCCCTGTCCCTCTCCGTGCGGTGTGAGGCAAGGGCTGTCGCTGTAAAGTCTGTGAGACGCAGCCTCCTGTGCCAGGGGCAGCTGCGGCCACCGCTGTGCGCAAAACCCCCGCCTGGGTCACGCCGGCCCCGTGCGCGCCCACTCGCGGTCCGCGGAGTCCCCGGGCGCTCCGGCCCCGTCCGGCCCCTGCAGGCTGTCCTCGGTGGCGCTGGCGGAGCGCGTGCTGTCCTCACGCAGGGCGGGCTCGGGGCTGGCGGCCCGCTGCTGCTGCTCCTTGAGCTCCGAGTAGGAGCGCGAGAAGGTGTGGAAGATGGAGGTGACCGGGAAGGCCATGAGCAGGATGCCGCTGAGGATGCTGCTCAGCGCCACCACCTGCCCAGGCAGGCTGCGCGGCACCATGTCGCCGTAGCCCACGGTGGTCATGGAGATGACGGCCCACCAGTAGCTGGCCGGCACGCTGGAGAAGTCGCGGTGCGCGCCCAGCTCGCGCTCAGCCAGGTGCACGAGCGGCGCGAAGAGCGCCATGGCCACGCAGAGGAAGAGCAGCAGCAGCCCGAA